GGCTGAGGGATGATGACCCATTTTGTGTGGTGACGGGTTTAGAAGCGTCTGTCGTCGCTGGCTTTGAATCTGAAAAACAAGACAAACAAAGACTGTGTCTTACAATGAAGAAAAAGCTAACTTTTGATTAAAGATGTGAACAAGTACCAACACGAAGGACATAGTTTGGTGAGAGAAAAACAAAAGTCAAGTACAAAATGCCAGAGACTTCAAATAAAAGAGGCCAAAGTGTGCAGGATACCGATGTGTTACCTGTCTGTGAGATAGGAGCAGCAGTTTCCGTTACTGAACTGGGTTTGCTCACAGTCATTACTGGTTTCTTTCGGACAATCAGTGAACCTAATGCTCCTTTACCACCCACCGTCCCGACACTCCTCTCCCAGCTCTCCACCTTGGCCTTCTTTGCTCCTCCAGCTGAAGCTCCCTGTAGAAAGGATGAGGAAAACACAGCCCAAAGCTTTTCGGTCAGCAACACATAGAAAATTCTCATTAAGTACATTGTGATTGTGGAATTCTGTATTTAAAGACAATGAGCATTGTGAAAGTCACTGGCCTTAACTGCCACAACCTTACATATAAACCCTCTTCCAAAGAAGCTGAGAAAGTATGTAAATGAAAACAGAACATCATATTTAACATTTAAACTGAAAACCACTGTGTAGTATCACCTCGTCTTTAACAATAGTTTGTTAGCAACCAGCTGATGGACTTTTAGGAGAGGAATTTTCTCTCATTCTCGTCTGATAAGAGATTCTAGCTGCTCAGCAGTCTTTGCCATATTTTTCATTTCATGACTGTGCAGATGTTTTCCACTGATGAATGCAGGCAGCCCAGCTCAGCACCTGGACTTTTCTACTACAATGCCATGCTGTTGTAATAGATGCAGCATTGTCTTGCTGAAATATGCAAAGCTCTCCCAGAAAGACACGGTCTGGATGGAAGAATATGTTGCTCACTCGAAAACCTTTTCAGCATTATTGCTTTTCACTTTGCCTCAGTCAATTTTAAGCTAGGTTTGGGCCACAGAAGATGGCCATATTTCTGGATCACATTCACATGTGTCATGAGAGGTCTGTGTTAGGTGACTGGGTTTATGAAAACCCAGCTCAATATATTGATCTCCAGACTCTAAACTATAAAATGAAAATCATAGTTCTTTATTCAAACTTTGAAACATTGGAGGTAAAACAGGAAAATGAAGAGGCAGTCACTGAAACCTTGAGGATTATGACTAAATAATCTTGACAGATATTTAGATATGTCACATGTGGGTGGCTATACAGACCTCTGCCTCTGTTGGTTTGTCAGCAGTGAGGATGTCTGTTGGTTTGTCTGAGCTGGACTTGTTTGACTGTTTGCTGCTGCTCTCTTCTTCTGTTTCTGAATCAGAGTCAGACTCTCTGAGTCTTTTCACGAGAGCACGATCCAACATCTCCCTGTTGAACAAAGCACAGTGTAATTTTAAATTTCCACATATACATCTAGCTATGTATTAGATATTATAGCAAAAAACATTTTCAATTAAATATGAAACATGCATGAGATTGTTCAAAAAACAAAAAACAAAAAAAAAAAATCAGACAATTTTTCTGAGCATGCACAACTCACTTCATTTCACGCTCATCCTCCTCTTTCTCCCGTTCCCGCTCCCTCTTCTCCATCTCTCTGTACTGGTCGATCATTCCCTCAAAGTCCACCAGAGCCTGTCTCTGATTCAGCTCCTTCAACTCCTGCAGGTTCTCCAAAACCTCCATCTCTAACTTTGAATCCTTTGTGCGGTTCTCCAGCACCTGGTCGAGGATTGGGAAACCATTCATTCTGTGTTTCATGTGCCAATTTAAGTAAGAACAGAGGATGACTTTTAAAACACTAACCTTCATGGGGTTGTTCAGTTCCTCTTCTTCCCTCTCCTGCTGGATTCTCTTCTCCTCCTCCTCAATGAGTTTCTCTGCCTGGAAGTTCCGCGTTGCGCCGTGCTCCATGGCGTAGTCTGTGTTCTCCGGGTCAGTCTATGACGTCATCATAAGATATAGCATTGTCAACGGGTATTTTATGCCCAATATAAGTGATATCTCTGAGATATCTCTTGCAACTTCGATGATCAGATCATTCACACTTACCTTAAATGTAATTTCAGCAAGACAGCGGGTACATTTGATGTAGAAACGAAAGATAGGCAGTCCCATGTAGGTCTCATTCTGAACGGTCTCTTTGCGTGCATTGAACTTCTTCCCCTTGTAAATGTACTCACCGCATGTTTTACACCTGCAAAGTAGAAGAAATGATGACACTGCAGTGACAGGAGTAATTTAGAGAAGCCAAAAAAAGGTCCTATAAGTGAGCAGCAACCCTGTTTTACTGCAAATAAGCCATATATCTAATGAATAGACTTACATTCATATAAACCAAACCAACCAAGATTCCTGCTTTGACAGTTAGAAATAACCTTAACACTGTACTCTTAAGTCACTAAAAAGCAGAAATATATATGTTAAGGCCATGACTAAACTGGACCTGGAAGTCTCTATTTGGAAAGAAAGCTCTAAAACAGCTCTACCTTCTCCAACAACTTGAAAAATACAATGTTTGTGTCATATAGTCATTCCAAGAGCATGATATACGCTCATTTTTTCTGAAACTGGAAAAAATGTTAAAAGATTATTATTATGTGCTGGATGAAGGTCATTTACCAGAGTTATTAAAAACAGTAGATGTTACTTTTTTAAACACATCCCACTGTTTAAAATCCTATTTGTTAAATCTCTGAAACTGATGTGAACCGAAGTATGCAAACAGTCATGAGCTCCCAGGTTACTAATGTTATAAAGGCTAACAGTGGCTGTGTCTGAGTGGGTGAATGTGTTCTAAAGATTGTTTTGCATGTTCATTAAAAGCCCAGAATTACCATGACAGTCATGCCTATGATGAGTGTATATGTCTGACCACAACTGTTGGTACCAGTCCATTCATAACGCTGCAGGGGGCGTTTTTGTTCGCCTTCTCGCATGTTGTTTGGTTGTGTATTCATAACAGCATCCTTTACAACATTAGCTGCATTTCATTGTAAGAAAGTTAAACTTCAGTAGTGTAACCAGGAAACAACTTCTTAGATATACGTGGGTAAGACAAGCATACCTCATATTAAATGGAGCCATCAATCTGACCACATACTGACGATCTTTGGGGAGCTTTAGCTTCGGGATTTTGGACGGATCGAAATCCGGAGGGTAGTATTTCTGTGGATAGCAAAACACATAGGTTAGCTTACAAACTTGTAGCCATTAAACTAATAATGTCTAATTTTATTACAATATAGTCTTGATAGACACTATCGTAGTAACAGTAGTTGAAAAAGCAACGCTACCTACCAGCTTTTAGTTAAATTAAACAGAAACTATAAAAAACGCCACACTTAGCTTCAATGCTAACGCCAACCTGCTCTGATCCTATAGTATTTTTAATAACAGCAGTGAAGTACCAGTTTTAGAGTTCATATACTTACATTCAATACTTTTCTTTCGGACATTTTTACTGTTGCTGTTACCCAAACGTACAGAAAAAAACGCTGGAAAGTCGCAACACCTCTTGTAAACTGCAAGATAAGCTTCCGGTTGCTTGTTCAATTGCTTCCCTCCTCCAAATTGCGCTCGCCCCCGCGCGGTAAAAGTGAGAAACAACAGCAACAACAAAATATTTTAACAATGGATATTGAATACATTTATTATAAAAAAAATCATTGTCAAGGGAAATACATGTATAACGACTTGAATTACTTGGATTTTTACAGTTCTCTCCTTCAAACCCCCCAAATCCCTTTATCCTTTGCTGCCATTCTACCTGAATGACTCATATAAGCTTTATATATTGAACAGGGCCCTCAGGTGCTGTCTGCTTTGTCTTTTTTTTTCCAACATAGTGAAAGGGATCATGACCAGCATGGTAAATGGCGTAAAACGATTTGTCAGTGATATGGGGGTCAGTAATATGGTTTGGTGTGTAAACAGAAGCCTGACAGCCTCACATATTCATTCCCATTACTCTTGGGAGGGTAAGGGGAGGGTTAAGGTTATTCCTACAAAAGGAAATTGTATCTTGATTACATATTGGTCTCTGTGTTGGTCAGCCTGTCTGATTTAAACTTTGCAGAACAGCAGTGACATCAGAAGGGCAGATCGTTAAATAAGAATAAGATATGAATAAAGTTCGACTTTAAGATTAAGGACTTTTGTTTCTGCTATTATTACTATTTTTTAAAGACAAAGAATTGAATTAAAATGAGACAACACAATGTATAGATGGAAGCATTAAATTTTTAGAACTACCCTTTTAGGGTCTACTTTCTGAATGAGAGCACATTTATTAGACTTCACCAATAGCAAACTTGAAAGAAAAAAGTTAAATTACACCAAAACAGATATTTTGTTTGCACATACTGACCCTTATCATCAAGATAACTGTGGCCACGAGTGTGCTATCCCATTAATATCGTAAATTCCTAACCTTTTCATTGGTAATCTGTAATTTATAGTGTCAAATGCAAGTCATAAAATCTCCCCAGTGGATTCCTTGTTGTGCATTTTACGCAGTAAATTGTATTTTTCAGTGAAATTATCAGGGCTTTGCAAAACACCACTTTCAAAAATTGGAAACAATTCTGTTGTTGTCTTTTTTGTTGTTTTATTATTTCGATAACTGTGCAATCAAAATGCAGATTAGCTGTTTTACTTGATTTCTCACTCTGATTCTGACACATCAATGTGACGCATCAGTGAGTCAGATATGTGATTAACCAAAAAGGCCACAGAAACAGGTGAAAAAAATGTGATTTGTTGGGAATTCAATGGGATCAGTTAACTGAAATTGATTGGAAGACTGGGATAAAATGTTTTAGATAAAGGAGTTTGATTACTCTTTGGTTTCATCATCACTTTCACAAATTTTAATGTCTCACATCGACGTTTGGTTTTCATCTTCTCTTATCGCTTCCTGTTAAAGATGCAAAGGTGCCGAGCAGTGTCATCCATGTCAAAGTTTATATGAATATTTCAAAGACTGGCTGATGTCAGCAGCACTTGCAAAGAGCCTATAAAGACAGTTTCTGTGGACAAAAGACATCCATCCTCCACACTCCAAAGAAGCGTTTGTCTACTGGAAAAGAGCTCCACCCGCTGAAGAGAAGGACTCCTCCTTTATGTGTCTGAACACAATGGTCAGTGTGCGGACTCTCCTCCTCGCGGTCACCTGCTGCTACGCCTACCTGTACCTCGTTCGCGCAGAGGACTCCTCACTGGAGACGCGCTCACTGGATTTCACCCTGAAAACTCAACAAGAGAAAGACTTGGTGAGAGCTTTTGTTGGGGATGTGGGTTAATTCGATTTAATTTGTATAAAGAAGGATGTTGATTTTTTTTCTGTATTTAGGGTATTTAAATTATTTGAACAACAATTTTCTTAAAAACAAAGTCCATAGTAAACGTTTTTTGATAATATGACTTTTTATCCCCCCCTATGCAGATTGACGCATTGCAAGAAGTTCTGGAGAAGCTGAGGAGCAAAGAGATGCCCTTGGAGAAAAAGCATGGATGGTTACCTTCGGTAAGCAGACAAATGAGAAATAAAACAGCACGAAACCTGTTAGATTTCATTTTCTTATTTAAGATTCTCTGAATTTACAACAGTCAGAAAAAAATGAGGATTTTTAGACGTTTGTTTTTATCTAATCAAGATTTTTAAATTCTATAAATCGCAAAAAATTTACAATGTTTTGTCTACAGTGTACTAATTTTATGTTACCCTTTCAGTGTGACGCAGGGGAGCCGTGCGCCGTGCGTAAAGGCGCGCGTATTGGCACGCTGTGTAGCTGTCCACGGGGGACTACTTGTAACTTCTATGTTCTGAAATGTTTGTGATGAGGAAAAAAAAGATAACAGAAGTACAAGAAATAACGAAAGAGTTCAGGGCTGATAAAAAAAGATGAATGTGAGAAATGACAGGAAGGTCTGCTTCTACTGTTCAATACATTTGTGATAGAAAATAAAATGCTGTAGAATGTGACTTTTTTTTGCCTTTATAAACATTGACTGTTATGAATAAAGGTTTTTGTGAGTCTGTTGTTTTAATTTTTATTTCTCTCGTCCGTGTTAATTATTGTGTCACATTGTGTTAATCATTGCGGCATCTTGTGGAAGACTTTTTTTGGTCATAATATTTTAATATATTTATTTCTTTTCCCCTGATTGTTGGAAATACCGCACAGTTAGTTTATAAATAGATTTGTAAGATGAAAATACCAATAAATGAACTTGAATTCAAGGGTCTGTAGAGTGTTACTGCTGCACCTTTGCGGTAATAATATTGCATGGGATATTATAAAATATACATGGAGGTAATTTACAATGGGATCGGCGATTAATAAAAATAGATATTGATCCCTTTGCCACGTGTGATCAACAATTCAGCCTCTTCCTGCCCATTCACTGATGCGCGGCTGAATTCCAGCACAGCAGCTGTCATCCCTGTAATAAAAGGCGCTGTCAGGCTTTTTCAATGACATCACATAGAAGCGCAATTTTCCAACATGGCGTCCAGCCGGGTGCTGGAGAGGGAGGTCCAGGAGGAGCCGAAGCGCGCTGCTACCGCAAACCTCGACTTTTGCCTCCATAAATACTCCCTGCTCATCATAATCGGACGGACCGCTCGCCTCAGGCAGACGGAACACATCAGCAGGGAGATAGAGCGAGGTAGGTTTATTTCAGCCCGCGTCCAATAGCTGCTGTATGCCATTTTGCTTTTTCCTATACAATTGTATTACAAAAAAAAACAGCTTCCTGCAAGTTCTTCTTGCCTAAATCATCACTTGCGGTGATATACTGAGCACACTGCAGTTTTTTTAATGCAATTTTTCCCCACCGTACTGACCGAGGATGCGTCATCTGGCGACACTCCACCATCAGCATCACCCCCTCATCCCTCCGGACACATTATAATTAAAAGCTGTCTGGAGTGGGTGCTTTGCCTTTCGCCTCAGTTTTAGTTTTTAGTTATGTAAGGACAAGCTTTGAGGGAAATGTTGCGCCGGGGATTTTCCACACACAGCCACTTGTAAGCGATGTCCCATTAACCTTTGTGCATTTATGCACAGCTGTAATTGTGGATGCTGCAGACCAGACAGTGCGTACTCATAACGATCCATTACAGTCTATGTTTTATTGCTTTGCTGTTTTGCAGCTGTAGACATTTTATGGAAGCCAGCATGTGTAGCAGACAGTTCATGTAAAACAGGATAGATAGGGAAATTGAAGAGAAACCACGAGGACAGACACAGATAGAAAAACAGACTCATATTCCTGCACTGTAGCTAACTGGGCCAATTAACATTTCATTACACTCTGGTGAAAGCTATGTACTTCAAAAATGTCATCAACTTTTCATGAACTGAACAAACAGCCCAGTTTTTTGAATGTACATCTGTAGCTAAAGATTATTTCTTCATCGGTTAATCATAAAAATAATAATTTAACAACTGTTTGTCCTACAGATTGGGAAAATCATCTGCTATAGTGTCCTCCAGTTTTTCAGTCTTCATCATGTGTCTTTAGCAGTCTAAAAGCCAACCACATTCAGCTGACTGTCACGTGTTTCAAAGAAAAACCTCAAATTCTCCTCACTTGTCAGCTAAAAACAGCAAATACATTTAAATGTACAATATAAGATGGTACATTCTGTATTTAATGTGTATAATTAGCTGAAAGTAAATGCTACAGACTCTTTATCGTGTTTATATGACAGATTGCAAGATACAATGATACTCGTTGTACTATGTTAAAAAGAGAGAGCAGATTTGGTTGAATGCATTAAATATTGAAATAAAATATACTATGGGATAGCTACGATTATAACAACCAGTTTTAATATTTTGCGAATACTTGGACATGTGTAGGCTTTTATCACATTGCACCGTGTGACATTATAGCCTCTAACTTTCTTGCTGTCAGGTATTCGGTCATGGGATGTGGACTTAAAATCCTGTAACCTGAACCTCTACCTCCAAGAATTCCTCTCCCATCACACGGCATCTTTCAAGGGTGCAGGTAAGATTTAAGTCATCTTTCTTGCCAAACTCTTTGGCCCTACTGGGGAAACTCCCATTGCCATGGCAATATTTCAGCTCAGCCAATCTGGGGTCACTAAGGAAGGAAGGAAGGAAAGTGGACAAGCAGTCAGACAGGGCGATTGTTGAGCATGGGTGGGCCCATGACACAGAAAACAATAGAAACCTGCAGCCAAGTTTTGCCACCTCTCGTTCTCTCTGTATGGTTGGCAATTAAGGACAGCTGAGCACAGGAAAAAAGACAGACAAAAAGAATTAAACAGTTGTGTCACAGCTGATCCGTGTAAAGTGAAGTGATGAAAATGGTCAAGAGCAGACATTTGTCTATCCAGAGAGGTTGCCTGCACTGTAGCTTCCATAATAAGATCTACTACAGAAATGAATAGTGTGAGGCATGCATTTATTTAATTTCTTGTCCAAAAGTTAGACAACAATCAATAGCCCTCACTTGCATTCAGTGTCAAAACTATGTATCTTGCTATAATACTAATAATACTAACAATCCTGCCTCCTGAGCCCTCACATTTACCAGAGTGGTGAATCAGCATGTTGAGGTTTTACATTAAACACCAGTGGAGACTCCAGGAAGTCACTGCTCCCAGCCTTCACATGCTATGTGATATGTGATGCTATTTTCTAATTTTTACATGTGTTACAGAAATATTAGTCATTTTCCTATTTCCAGTCTTTATGCTAAGCTAAGTTAGCCAGATGGTGTTTGTAGTTTCATTTTTTAGTGTACAGAAACAGAGATATATGTCTAATTATTGTCAAGGAAAGGAAAAGACATATTCTCCCAGAATTTTAAATGTTTGGTTGATTTATGCAAAATGTCATGTAGGGAAAATAGCCCTTTCTGTTTCCCTTTGTGTAAAAAGACTGAGAAACATTTGTTCATATTTGGGTCATGAAATTCCAGTCGGCTAAGTACGCCTCTGTATTGTTAGCTGTTCACCCAGTCCAATCTCTCAGACTGGATGTCCTTCTCAGATTGAGGAAACTTGGCATCTCTTCCTCAGACAATCCTTCTGACTCAGCTGTTCCACTTTTCTTACTTCCTCTTTTTCACCCAGTGAGTCAATCACCCGTCCGATTAGCCCAGTTCACTTTCTCCTCTTTGAGCTCTTCTCCTATTTGCTTCCAGTCTGTCACTCAATGCTCGGACCTGTCGGCTTATCTCCCTCTTGTTTGCATCCCTGTGGCTGTCTGTTTGTCCTTCTCTTTATATCTCTTCTTATTTTTCTCTCTGCCTCTTCAGGGCATAAGTGTCTACGTCACTGTACCAGAGTGTTGGACACTCAGGTGGTGATCAGTCCATCTCAGGAACAGGTTCATTCAGAGGTGAGGGGATAAATCCTCGGGTGGCAGCTGACAAAATGATGCTGTGTTAAAATGATTCAGTTATTCAGAAATAAGTTGAATATAATAATTTCCCAAATGTATGAATTGTTGTTTTATTGCCATCACTATGTTAAAGCAGGTGCAACAAGAGTTTATACATGTACATTATTTTCATTAGGCTGTAGATGCCTTGAATAACTATGCAAAATTACAACATCTCAAATACTTCCACACTATAACTGGGCTACTGTATGTAGTATAATATGTATAATATGCAACATCTCAAAGCAAGGTGCAATATACCAAAACACGCACCCTCTTCCCCCAAACTATAAACACTATTCCCCTGTTTTCCACGTGGGATCCAGATTTGTTGAGCTTTCTGTGAAAAACGCTAACCTCGTATGTCACCTCGTGTTCATATCAAAAGCACCGGCATGCTCTAAAACACAATTAACTCAAATCATCACTGCCTGAATCCAATTAGCACCCAATTTGTCATGTGGAAGCACAGACAGTCCAACATGTTCGCACACCAGTCAGTAGATAAAAGGGCCATGTGACAGTTCACTGGTTTTGGAACATTTCCCTGGCTGTCTGGCCGTGGCTGTTATTGACTATTTCTGGCCTAACACAGACCAGAGAGGGGATGTTGGGGCTCAATCAATTACATTTTCTTCCATGCACAAAAGTTTGCCTCTCCATCATATTGAGAAATACCTGGCTATTATGATAATATACTGCATTTCTGAAAATCTGTTGAATATTTTTTGCGGTGCATTTACATTTTGCTCTAAATTTCAAACTGACCGAAGTCATAACTGCACACTGATGAAGACCAGTGTGCAGTTATGCATGTGCCTTCAGAGGAACCTAACCTAACCTAATATAACAGCTCTGTCATATCGGGGCACAGACATGTTACCTTTGTTATGTTTTTGCAAGACTCCAAAAATAAAAATAACCATGTAGTAGATTGTGCATAAAGTTAAAAAAGTACAAAGAATTCAAAGTGGCAACAAATTCAAATCCAAGATTTCAATTCACAACATTGCGCTGCATTTAGATGATCAGTGATAAACACTATCAGCGTTTTAAATGTGATGGCTGATTGGTCTATACTCAATATACACATTTTTTTGCATGGTAAAAATGAGGCCTGTAGCTACTCATTTACTTTGTTATGGAGTAATCCTGAAATGTAATCACAAAACAGCTAAACAGGGGTGTGACATCTTTGTGACATGTGTGACATTTGATGTACAGAGCTGTGCAAATGTCTTGAGAGACCCTTCATTTCTTTATAATTTGCTTCCAAGGAACCAAACTGTCTTATAGTTAAAAAAAAAAAAGTAGTCTTGAGCAATAGTTCTCCAGGATTTCTGAAGCTCTTATACAGTTTGTCTTTTTGACATTGACATTGCCTTTTCACTCATTTTTGGTCCATCCTTGTACCTGAGTATTTCAGAAGATCTTTTTAAGCTATTTAATGCTGATTTATGAATCATTCAAGCATAAAACAACACCTAATTCAACACATGAACCGGTTTAGTGTAAATACATGACAGACAACATAGAAGAGAGCCTATTTTAAATTGTATCTTCAGGCACTTCATTACTAGCAGTCTGTTATAAAACACAACATTTGTTCCAATTTCTTTAGTCAAACCTACAAATAATACCAAAGTTAAGACAATTTGATATTCATAAAATACTGTTGTTTTTTTTTTTGCACTAACCAGCTGATTTGAATTTCTTTCAAGATGCTTGCAGAACATTTCTTAAAGAAATTACAAGAAAGCCTGCCTAAGAGTATTTCATGC